CCCCCCCCGCGACCTCCAAACCTCCCGCGCCAAGCTTGGGTTCCTCGGGTTCCCGCCTCCGCCCCTTACTACGCCTCCAGCCATCTCTTTTTTACCCGCTTCGCTGAAAAGGAACTCGCAACCCCTTCCGTTCCCGGAAGGGCCCAGACCCGCCAGCCTCGCCCCCCGCTCACCTCGTCCCACTTGCGTGGTACTGGGAAGGGTGAGGGCAGGGGGCCGGCCACTGGGCCCTGGCTTGCCGCATCCTGACGGCGAGCGCTCCTTAGTTCCCGACGCTGTCACGGCCTAATTCCTACAACTCTCCGGTCCCCGGTAACCATTTTCTCTCCCCGCCCATTTTTCCCCCTCAGAACAACAGTTCTTAACTTCTAACCACCTCGGCGGCGTCTTCTGCTGATTTTGCTTCTCCTAACTCAGTGGGTATCCGTGGCTTCCGGGGATGCTCTTCGTTGCTACCTCTCCATCCTTTTACCAGACTTGCGATCCTTTAGAACTTTCGATGGATGAAAATAGCATGTTTGTGTATTGTCTGGATGCTTTATAATGAGGACAGTGTTGTTTCATCTTTTCGAAAAAGTAAATCCCATATAAAGCCTCAGGGCCTGTGAAACCTCATGGCTATTTTTCAGTTGAAGCTGGATTGACTAATATTAACTCTTAAAACAGTGGTTCTCGAAGTGTGGTCCGAGGGTCCCCAGACTCTTTAAAGGGGAAAGTCAAAAGTATTTCCATAATAATACTAAAGTGTTGTTTGCCTTGGCACTCTCATTCTCTCATAAGTGCAGAGTGGAGTTTTACAGAGGCTACATGACATGTTATATGGAAACACTAAAAACAGAAGCAAATATTAGAATCCAGTCATCTACTGTTCAACCAGACGTTAAAGAGATTTGCAAAAACATGAAACGATGCCACCTACTCAATTTTTTTTGTTTTGAAAAGTAGTTACTTTTCATATAAAAGATTTTTTCCTGTTAAAATGAAATGAAATAACGAATGTTTAAAATGAAATAACGAATAACTTAAAATTAAAATTTTTAAATTTCTTAATTTAAAAAAATTTTTTTAAATTTTTTTATTTTTTGCGGTACGCGGCCCTCTCACTGTTGTGGCCTCTCCCGTTGCGGAGCACAGGCTCCGGACGCGCAGGCTCAGCGGCCACGGCTCACGGGCCCAGGCAGTCCGCGGCATGTGGGATCCTCCCGGACCGGGGCACGAACCCGCGTCCCCTGCATCGGCAGGCGGATTCTCAACCACTGCGCCACTAGGGAAGCCAAAATTTCTTAATTTTAATTTCAAATATGATAATATAGGTATCTATAATACACATAAAAGTTCTTGGAGTCCTCAATTTTTAAGAATGTAAAGGGGTCCTGAGATTAAAAAGTTTGAGAACTATTCTCTCTTGTATTCCTTGAAACTTCTAACTGCTTAGAGTCATCTATTGTAATTCTCATGTTTAGCAGCAACCCCTAATCCATTTTAGAGGATATGGTTTTTTTCCTCGGCACTCCCCAACCTCATTGAAATTAGTTGCCTTTTCCACTCTGTGCTACAGATGACTGAGTTTATCCATTCATTTTGGGTTTTCTTATGTGATTATTTTGTTTTTCTCAACCTTCTGTCTTCATATACATCCTACTTGACAATGATGTAAAGCTAATAAGGATTATAATCACATCAATAATGACTCCTCCTGAAGAATCTACAATACACAAACTAGGTAGACCAGTGCCCAAAATGTCAGTACACTTGGCACTAATTTCAATGGAGTCCTCAAGAGCACCGCAGTCTAATCAAAGGTAAATAACTTTCACCTCCTTTCCATACACTTTGGTGGTTTGAACATCTGAGACCAAATTGAGAAGTTAGCCTTCATGATGGTTTCCATCCCACTCCAGGGTGCCCCACCAATTTCAGGCACTGATCCGAGGCTCCTAATTTCTTCAACCCCCACTGCCATATTTAAAGGCTTTATCATTACCAGTTTATATTCTCTCTTTCCTTTACTCCAGCTCCTTCCTCCGGCTTCCTCCTCCCTTTCTTTCAATTATCCTAGCCAATCTAAGGAATGAAACACGAATAAATTGCTAATAAGGCATGCCTTTTAATGTGATCTTTTGAACCACAGTTTGTAAATCTAAACCTCTACCATTTAAGACCCAGGAAGGGCAATCATTTATGCATTAATTCAACAAATATTTATATGTCAGGAACAACTTGACACACTGGAAATACAGCATTGAACAAGAAAGACACGGTTCTTAATTTTATTGAACTTGTGTTCTGGTGATGTGGGGCAAGTGATAGACAAGTAATGAAATAATCTTAGGTATTAGTAAGTGAAAGAGCTGTGGAGAAAATAAAATCACATAAAGGGGTAGAAGGTGATTGATCTGAGAGCATAGCATTGAGATTTTCTCATGGCTTAGACCCCCTTAGGCCCCCAAATCACACAATGTGGTTAACTCATGTAATTAATTTACAATAAATGGTGGCTCTGATCACTGATCGTGGATCATGCTAAACTTTTCGTTAGAGTTCCTTTTTTCTTCATTCCACATTAATTTCATCTGGTAGATGCTTACAGCATTATAGCCCAGTGGTTTAGCAGTGTGGCCTTGAAGTCTAATAGCCCAAGTTTCAACCCTATTTCATTGTGCGATGTTAAACAGCGCGTAAGTTGCTTAACCTGGCACCTGACAGATAGTAAACACTCCATAATAGTTAAAGGTTATAACCCTCTTACTGAGGTTTTGTTTTTGTTTTTGTTTTGTTTAAAGGTTGAAGGGACTGCCCTGAAGTCTAATTATATCTGACTCTATTTTTTGCGAAATATTTTATCAAAGCTATCTTGTCACAAATTTGAAAATATATTTTCCTGAGCTGAAATAATCCACACTGATAACCACAAAAGTACTATATTCCACATTTCTCAGTATTGGGTACAGACACTGTAGAGCTCAACCAGAGAAGTCAGGGACAGAGATGCTGTCTTAAATATGCTTGTGTCTAACTGTCCTTACATGGTAGGAAAGTACATAGGCTTGAAAGTCAGACAGGCTTAGCTTAGTCCTAACACTGTGACCTTGCAAAAGTACTTACACATTCTGACACTTAGGCTTCCCCATCTGAAAAGTGCATTAATAATTCTAATAAAATTTGCCTCTTCAGCAGCATGAAATAGAAAAATATATGTAAGCCCCCAGAGCAGTGATTGCATTTAAGTACCCAATAAATGTTTATTTTCTCCCTTCACAATTAATCAATATGTAAAATATGGCACCAATCATAATTATCATCTAAAAAACTACACATTTAAATACCTTATCTTAGTTTTGAATCTGGTTGGTTTTCTTTTCTTCCATTTTTTTTTCCAAATTATTATATGACTGCAACATAAAATCAATCAAAATTCCAGTGAGGAATTGTGGAAAAGTTGCCTTAAATCTCTTCCTCTACATCCAAAAGGAGATTTATATATATTTATATATTTGGTTTGAAAATATCTTAATTTTGCTATCATTTTGAGTTGAAATTTTTATTAAAATGATTGTAGATTCACACACGATTGTATAAAATAACACAGAGGTCCACATAAACTTTACCCAGTTTACCACAATGATAACAATCCACAATCTTATTCAGATTTCCCCTTTACTTCAATCCTCTTGTGTGTTTGTGTGTTTAGTTCTCTACAATGTTATCACGTGTAAGTTTCTGTATCATCATGTCAGGTAGGATACAGAACAGTTCCTTCACTGCAAGGATCCCTTATGTTGCTCTTTGATGGCTGTTTTTTTCTTTTCTTTTCTTTTCTAACTTACATGCCAAATAAAGTTCTACTTTCCCAGATTTTACTTTTTTTCCTTGTTTGTCACAAATAGACGACTTAGGGAGAAAACAAGCCATTCCTATGTTCAATATTTCTTATCTGAACTATTTGTAATAGACTTGCAATTGGTCTCCCTACTACCAATCTCATTCCTCTCTGACCTATATGCCAAAGTTATGGTTCTAAAATACAAGTCTAATACACTCTACTTTGTTATAAAACTTTCAATGGCTCTTTGATGTCTACATGACAAAATAAGACTTGCAAAGCCCATCCCAATCAGAATCCATCCTATTTTTCTAGCCATACTTCCCACTACCCACTTTCATGGACCCCAAATTTTATAATTTTTGAACTACTCACCAGTCCCTCAACATGACAAGTGTTTTTATGCCCTCTGTTCTCCCCTTCTTTTTTTTTCTTTTTCTTTTTCTTGGCTGCATTGGGTCTTCGTTGCTGCGCGCGGGCTTTCTCTAGTTGCGGCAAGCAGGGGCTACTCTTCATTGTGGAGCTCGGGCTCTAGGCATGCAGGCTTCAGTAGTTGCAGCATGCGGGCTTCAGTAGTTGTGGCTCGTGGGCCCTACAGCGCAGGCTCAGTAGTTGTGGCACTCAGGCTTAGTTGCTCCATGGCATGTGGGATCTTCCTGGACCAGGGCTTGAACCGGTGTCTCCTGCATTGGCAGGCAGATTCTTAACCACTGCGCCACCAGGGAAATCCCTCTCCCCTTCTATTAATCCTTCAACAACTAGTTCAAATCTTTATCTCCTCTGGAGAACCTTTCCTATCTCACCAGGGCAGAGCTGGCTGCACTCTCTTGCCTGTTTTTAAACAACTCTTTCCTGTATGTCTGTATGTATGTTCCCATGTTTCCTTCTCCCCCAACACATACTACACCAGATTGTCAGCTACTACAGGGTCGGGTCCTTGTTTATGTATATCCCT